ACTTATTTTACTAAGAACTATAACCTAATTATTAAAGAGCCATGGTAGCTTAGGTGGTTAGCGCTCGCTGTAAATTTCACAGTACGCGAGCAACCCGAGTTCGATCCCCGCCGGCACGAATGAAATTGTTAATTGCAATTTTAAGTTTTAATTTTAAAAAAATCCACTTCAAACGATTATTTAAACGATAAAACAGGAGCAACCATCCGTCGATGGTCAAGCTCCTGCCAAAACTCACAGTAAGTAAAGTAGTACTAAGTTTCATAGATTATAGTGATTTTAATATCACACTTTTACTTTACAACATTACATTTCTTTTTAAGATAATAAGCAAATAAATAAACTGGGGCAAAATGAAAAACATAATATAGTGTAAATAAAGTATAGTACATTGGGTCCATCAAGAATTAGGATTTAAGTTTACGATGGTGTTGTAGATTAAATGATTTACGTGAAAAAATAAAAAAATAAATTATTTAAATCTCTAAGTCTTATATCTATATTTCAATATCAAACTTATATTTCAATATATGTCGTCAAAAATATTAAAAATAAATATCGATATTTCTAAATAATAAAATAGATTTTTCGATATATCGATATTTTATCAACAGTCCTAGTTCAAACGTGGAGCGTGGCCGTGGGCGTTTGGTTTGCGTGACTCCTATAAAATATATATATAGATAAATTAAATGATATTTAATAATACCTAAATCTTATTTAATAGCATTTCCTGTCTATTAATATATATCTATACAAATAAATAAAATTGAAGTGTCTATTTGTAATGTCAAAATAACAGCTTTTTACTAAATGCATATGAAAGTACATACGGTACTTATAACAAAAACAAAATTTTTAAAATCTTTGTCTATCTTTCTTTCTGTCTGTCTGTCTGTCTGTTTGTTCCAGCTAATCTCCGAATCGGCTGAACCGATTTTGACGAGACTTTCAGTGGCAGATAACTGATATTATATGGAGGAACTTAGGCTAATTTTAATTTAGAAAAAGAATTAGGGTTTCGTGCAAAAAAATTAAAACCCATGAAATCCAATCGTAATAAATTACACGCGGGCGCACAATTAGTCGCGGGGAACAGCTAGTTAATAGATAGCAAAAGATATTTTTAATTTATAGCGTATCATTTCATTACAGCCCTTCACAAGTCCACTGCTGAACATAGGCCTCCCCCAAAGAATGCCACAAAGCACGGTCCTGAGTCACCTGCATCCATCGACTTCCTGCATAGCACCCCCTGCCCCGCCGTTACCATGGTCGCCACCGTAGCCAGGAATAGCGGGGCCGCCGGGGACTGGGGGCCGTTTATTATTGTCATTGCTCATGGGGGGTATATTGCCATAGTTGCCACGCTTGGCGAGCGGGTTGGCAACCGCAGTTTTTTTTATTGTTATTTTGGCTATTATCAGGAAGATGCTGCTGCCCATCTCCTGCCTGTTTCCCTTTGTCGCCTTTTACGACACCCACGGGAAGATATGGGGTAGTGGATATTCTTAACCGCCACTACACGGCACTTATAGCGTATATATATATATATATATATATATATATATATATATATATATATATATATATAATTTATGGCGTGACTCCAACTAAACGCGCACGGCTACGGCTTCATCGATCGAGAAATGACGTCAATCAATAACTTTTCCTATATATTAACACTTCAAAAGATATTTTTATTCATGATAAGGTCAATTGACTTTTAAGAAATGGGTCAGATATTATGATAATTTTACTCATTATGGTAAATTTTATTTATTTAATGAATGTGTTATTTATTTTTATTTGTTTATTAAATAACCTATCTGTAGAGCGGGCGACATCCCACTGATACTAACTTGCACCCCGGTTACGGTGAACCCAAAAAAATCCGTGGGCATGGGCACATTCTGAAAGTTTTATGATGACCAGATAATGCTTATCGGTTTTCAGTAACGGAAATAGTTAGGATGGCCTAATTTTCTGTGATTATCTAATTGAGCTCTCGACGTGTTACGTACTAAAATAAAGTTGAAGCACCCAAACGTCACGAATTAAAATAAGTTAAACAAAATAAAATCCGTAAAGTTTGTTTTATTAAAAGTGTAGTATTCGTGTAATAAATCAGTTAAAAATCATTGAATTATAAGCCCTTTCAAATGAGTTCAAACACGACCGTTCTATCTAGTGCGGCCACTGAGATCCTATATCCACTTTCGGATTGCACCATCAGAAAGGTGAGGTCACAGCAGTCACCTAGGTCTTTATGAGCCCTTTCAAATGAGCTCAAACACGATCGTTCTATCTAGTGCCGCCACTGAGATCCTATATCCACCTTCGGACTGCGCCATCAGAAAGGTGAGATCATAAAAGTCACCTAAGTCTTTATGAGCCCTTTCAAATGAGCTCAAACACGATCGTTCTATCTAGTGCCGCCACTGAGATCCTATATCCACCTTCGGATTGCACTATCAGAAAGGTGAGATCATAACAGTCACCTAGGTCTTTATGAGCCCTTTCAAATGAGCTCAAACACGACCGTTCTATCTAGTGCCGCCACTGAGATCCTATATCCACCTTCGGATTGCACCATCAGAAAGGTGAGATCATAACAGTCACCTAGATCTTTATGAGCCCTTTCAAATGAGTTCAAACACGATCGTTCTACCTAGTGCCGCCACTGATATCCTAAGTATATCCACCTTCGGATTGCACCATCAGAAAGGTGAGATTATAACAGTCACCTAGGTCTTTATGAGCCCTTTCAAATGAGCTCAAACACGACCGTTCTATTTAGTACCACCACTGAGATCCTATATCCACTTTCGGATTGCACCATCACAAAAGTGAGGTCACAGCAGTCACCTAGGTCTTTGTGAGCCCTTTCAAATGAGCTCAAACACGATCGTTCTATCTAGTGCCGCCACTGAGATCCTATATCCACCTTCGGATTACACCATCAGAAAGGTAAGGTCATAATAGTCACCTAGGTCTTTATGAGCCCTTTCAAATGAGTTCAAACACGACCGTTCTATCTAGTGCCGCCACTGAGATCCTGTATCCACCTTCGGATTGCACTATCAGAAAGGTGAGATCATAACAGTCACCTAGGTCTTTATGAGCCCATTCAAATGAGTTCAAACGCGGTCTTTCTATCTAGTGTCGTCACTGAGATCCTATACCCACCTTCGGATTGCACCAACATAAAGGTGATATCATCACAGTCATCTAGGTATCCATTTACCTATTTGAAAATGAGGCCAAACACGATGATTCTACGTAGTAGCATCACTGAGATCCTTTACCCACCTTCTGAGTCCACCATAAGGAAGGTGACATCATTACCATCACCTAGGTCTCCATCCTCTGCCAAACCAACTTCTCTAAATATATATGACGGTTCCGTGGCGCAGTGGCTTAGCAATGAATTGCGGCGCGGGTTCGAATCCCGCACGGAACAAGTATTTGTATGGTCTACAAATGATTGTTCCGGGTCTGGATGTTTGTCCTTGTGCAATTTATGTTTGTAAACTGCAGGAGAAAATCCTAATGTGGGGGTAACGTTTTGTTTAATAAAAAAAAATATAAAATCTTAAAAAATGTTATAAAAATTATAAAATATATATAAAAGCTACTAAGAAAGTATGTACTTACCAATAATGGAAACGAACTGAAGCCAGCGGATTACGGTGCGCCCGGAAAAATACGTGGGTTGCCGTCAGTTAAAAATTTTAACTTAAGATGTCACATTCACGGTCAGTTTTTGGATGTACATCAGTTCAACGGAGCAGTTTAACTGACAGCACGCCCGAATAAAATCCGTGTATTGCCTTCAGTTAAAATTTCAACTGATTTCACATTCACAGTCAGTTTTTGGATGTACGTCAGTTCAACTGAGCAGTTTAACTGACCGTGTGTGTCACCATAAGGGTAGCAATGACCGCAATGCACTTGTATGTTGTAGCACATGTTAAAATTTGGTCTTGAACTAAAGAGCAAAGAAATTGGGATCGAATTTTTAAGTTTTTTTAAAGAATTCTATTTTTAGTTTTACGTAAGTAAAACAATCGAGTGAGCGCATTTATTTGTTGTTCCTCCTTAATTTTGAAAGTTTTAAAATTAATAATTTAAATTTGTTTTAGAGTTTATTTGTGTTATTTCGGTATAAAACAATTTAATTTTGTGACTCATATTATAAGTGTAAATAATAATTTGTGTATAAGTATCTATTTTGTATTATAGTGCAGCAAGTATATTCTAAACTTAAAAATTTCTCGTTTATAATAATTTGTGACTCATTTATAACGGTGTATTTATAAATCTGTAGTGTAAAAGACAATGCCCATCTGTGCCCCAGAAATGCCCAGATAAAGTATATTACAAGATTGCTCTAATAAATAAAAACTAGAATAGAGTGTAGTTACTGTATAGGTATTAATTTTGTTAAATTAAAACTTTAAAATGTCTCGTATAAATTCCAGTATTTTGTGGGACTATTTTGATAGAACAATTGTAGGCGACAAAAAGGCTAAATGTCGTGTTTGCGGCGATAGTTACAGTTACAAATGGACGACAGGTAATCTTAAGGCATATTTAAAAAAAAAAGACATTTAGATGCTTATACTAGAATCATTACCGGACAGCTAGAAATAAGAACATTCCAAACTGCTTCAACCGCAAGTGGATCCACAACTGTTACCACGGTAAATACTCTATCAAGTACGACAACCGCCACACCATCAACAACAGCGCTAGCTCTAACACCAGTGCATCCATCGGAATCTCAAGCTACAGTTTCCAACATGGGTCAAGTAAAGCAACAAGCCATAGAAAGGTAATTTATTACAACATTAAAAAGAAAGATTGACAGTGACCTTTTAGATTTATTTATTGATAGCTATCACCCATTTAAACTAGTAGAAGAAAGAGCTTTCAAAAAATTTATTTGCTGGATTCCGGGTTATCGACCCCCGACTAGAAAAATTATTTCAAGTGTTATGATTCCTGCTTTATACCAAAAAACTAAAGAGGCTTTAAAAATAGAATTGGGTCCTAATTGCGGCATACACCACGTATGCCTCACGAGTGATTTATGGACTTCAAGAGCTAATGAATCATACATGGCTGTAATTGGTCATTTCATTACAGATGAATTCCAACTAAAGGCCATTTTGTCGGACTGCGCACATTTCGAAGACGCTCACACAAATGAAAATATTCAGAGAGTCTTGAATAACATTGTTGATGAATATGAGTTGTCCACCGAAATTAACTTCATGGTCACTGATAATGGTGCCAATATCCAAAAGGCTATTACCGACATCGGCTGGAAGCATTACGGATGTTATGGGCACACATTAAATTAAATTTTACAAAACGCGATTTCCGCCCAGGCTTTGCAATATGTGTTAGAAAAGGTAAAAAAAAAAATTGCGCTTTTTTAAATGCAGCAGCACTGCATTGGAAAAACTATTAAAAGCACAAACGAGTGACCAGTCCAACTGTGTTCCGAAACGCTTGGTTCAAGAAGTTCCAACGCACTGGAACTCTACTTTTCATATAATCAAGCGTTTCGTTGAACTGTAGCAACATAACATTTCGTTGAACTGTAACAATTAGGTCTAAGATTGCTGTAGTCAGAAAAGACCTACCGATTATTACCAATGAAGAGTGGTTGCTCATTGCGGAAGTCAAAAAGATATTCAAACCTTTTGATGAAGCGACCGAATCTATGAGCGGCGAAAAATATATGACAAGTAGCTCAGTTATACCTATGACTCAATGCCTGATAGCATCGTGTGACAAACTTCTGGACGAAGAGTTCTATGGTATATCTAAGCAGTTTATCAGTAGTTTAAAGTCAGGACTGACAACAAGATTTTGTAATATTGAAAGAAGCGGAACTTTTGCTATTTGCACTTTCTTAGATCCCAGATACCAACTTATTAAATTATGGCTACATCGGTACCATGCGAGAGGATATTCATCAAGACGGGGCTGATCATTAATGATCGTCGAACCCGGCTAGCATCATCAAAAGTTAAACATCTCGCATTTTAAAACGTTAATCTCAACAAACACGGATTTGAATAATCTAACTTCTAATAAGTAAACAATGTAAATATTCAGTAGTAAGTAAAATTAAAACAAATAACTTATTTTAATTGCATTTAACATACTTTGTAAAACGAACGAGAGATTGTAAATAGTGTAAAATATACAGATCAGCAAATGGACTGATACTCGTAAATTCGCCTGCATTATTATAGTAAGACAGTACGTACCTAATTAACTATTAAAACAATAAATCACAGTTTTTTCAAAACCGAAAATATTGCAGCCAGTCCTAAGCCTGGTAAAAGTATGAAGGACAGTCCATTAATGGTGAGTATTAGTTTAGGTATATATTGTATAAAATACATATTGCGTATTCTAGTTTTCATAATAGTACCTAGTAACACTAAATATCATATAGGGTTACACTATATACTGTACGTTCGTAGCCGAGTATCGAATCAGTATCCACCTTTGAGCATAGAAAATATGCTCAAAGGTATACATTTTGTCAAAAACGTCGCGAAACCGGTATCGAAATAACTGCATATACGGCATAATATCGTCAATATTATATAGTTTCAGAAAATATACTGTCTCGAAATCCGATATCGAATATCAATATATAGTTTCGATATGATATTCAGAAATTACGATATTACCTACTCCTAAACACTATTATAACAGCCAAAAAATTAAACAACAGGCACAACAGCTAGCAATTATGGAGTGTAGAGTAGAAGGAGGACCATCTCTATATATGAAAAGTGTCCCTAAAAACGTGTCCAATAAGGGTGGCGCTGCAGTAGCATAGGATAAATTTAAAAAAAGCGCCAAAAGTAATTAGAATAAGATGGAGAAATAAACAAGGACCGACCAATCCGTTTGGTTTTGTACTACGTAAATAGTTGAGATTTTGTATACTGGCATTTTACTAACTAGTCTAATCATGAATTTTTTTAAATATTTGAATTCAGCTGACTTCACTCCGTTCACAACAGCTACTTCATATCGTAGTTTTTCAGACGCCAGCGCTATTGTGGTAGGATTTGGAACCTCTATTTTCAGTAAATAGTAGGGCACTTTTTCAACTTTCGCCCCTTATAAGATGGTTCTCCTTGTACTCTACACTCCATACTAGCAATGAACGAAATACAGGGAAATATATTTGTTTAACGTTATACTTTAGTGTTAGTAAAATAAGCTCTTATCATGTTGTCTAAGAGTTTAAATTAGTGTGAACTATACGCAATCCTTGTGGCACAATGAATGTAGTCTGTAGGTTAACTCCGATTGAGGCGCCGCGTCTCGGCCGACGGCTAGACCGTAAACTAGCTAGCGCACACGTAAATCGCAAATAGTTGTTACTGTTACTTTTGGTAGACGGCGCTTTCTAACAATAATGAATATATAATAACAGTCAATGGTTGATTATTCTAAAGTGTTGTAAGATTACAAATATATAATGAAATATATTATCTGTTGTATGTTATAACGCCCAACTTTAGTTACAGATTCATTAGAATCTTGGCACAAAATAATTTAAAATGAAGTTAAAGACAAACATCCAATAGTAACGTTTTTGGAATGCTTAGTAAAAAACGTCCAGGTTTTCGCTAGCAAATTAATTTGTTGTAGAAAAGAAATTTATTTGTCTAGGCATATTACAGAATTAATAAATTACATAATAATATTATTTAAAACGAGGACGTTTAATTTGATTTAAATGCAACACGTAATGCATGGACTTAAATAGGCTGTAACGGTAACTGTAACGGCAATATGTTAAAAAAAAAATTTAAAATGTATGGTTTGAACTGTACTTGGGGTAAAAACTTACTTTTATTTGCTCTTCCGACCAGTATAATTCCGATTATCCACTCCGTCAGGGGTGATAAGTGAACTTTTTAGGATGAACAAACGGAATAATCCTTCAGTGCCGGCCTCACTGGACTGGCAATATTCTTCACCTATTACCGTCGCCCCACCAACTGACACCACCCAGAACCCGACCGATTCTACAATGCAGACTTACGAATAATCCTATTAAATAAAAATATATAAACATACCTTAAGTTTATAAAAGTAATAGTTTGTACTTTTTAACGTAACTATCATAGTAATAAATTATAACTAGAACTTAAATATACATCTATTTATGTCAATAAGAAGGGAGAAGTGTAGTGTATGATAAATATTCATGTATGTGGGTGTACAAGTAATTGTAGGTAATTAACACTGCGAGAAAAGGACCCAGAAGGGCCTAGAACAGTCTCGAAATAAACAAGGTTGCAATCGGACGTTACATTGTGTCTCATTAAATTCCCGAACATTATACAAACCAAAATAAGTGTAACACAGAATTATTAACATTTCCTACAGGAAGAAACTGAAAATGTTAATAATTCTGTTAAAAATATGAAATTATGTAGAATTACATATTTTTGTACCTACTTTTAAAATAGCAATCTAAATCAATATGAAGGAATGAAACAGCGACATCATTTGCACGCCTCATAACGCGAAGCGTTATTAGGTGTGTATATTCTCGACACGTCAAGGTCAAGCAATTTTGTAGTTTTAAAATGCCTCCATCATAACCATATTGCATTTATACGTCTTATATTTTCTAAAAAAATAATTTTATATTTTTCAACTTTGATAAAAAAAGGTTTGAAAAAATTTTAGGTGGACATCCAAATGTTGATTTTGTATGTAGTCACGATAGCTCCCGAAAAAAATGACGTATCAAGACCGGGTTTTCTAATTAGCTTCAGAATTACATCAACTGGTTCCCTATTTCATATCAATAGCCTTAGTAGGTACGCGTCGTTTGTTAATATTAATAATTATAAATGTTTTATAAATTTTATTGCTATTAAAATTTTAAAGTTTTCATTTTTTTTCTTTAACTCTATAGACAAAGGACAAATAATGTACCATACAGCCAGCTCCGCGATGTTAGCACCTCATATGTGCGGAATTTCGATTGACCAATTATACCATCGGAAAAGTCAGAAATTGGTCATAAAAGGTCAGTTGATCTTATTAATTGGTCAGCGTTAGAAACATTTTTATTAAGGGTTAAATTTTTCAAGGTCATTGAGAAATTTGAGCACCTCATTCGCGAAAAATACTTATAAAAAATATGCGCGATTGAGAAGCATTCGCTGATAAATGGTCAGCTTATATAAATATTTGGTCAGTTTAATTTAATATTTAAAAAAAAATTAGTTGGCATTGTCGTAACGCGCATGCTTTGGGACGGTTAACCGATTCGTAGCGACACCGATTTTCGACAACTTTTACCTGTGGCGGCGAACAAATATATGTCGGAGCGTCTATAAAATATCACTTCTATCGAGGTGAACATGATGGTATATCGAGAAACTCCCACTTGTTTGTGCAGTATGAAGTTCACTGTAGGTGACGTGCGGCGGAGATTCCGCTCAAGTCATTCAACGAGTGTGGTCACTCTACTAGTGCTAAGATAGTGTCGTGGTTCTGTTCGTTGTTGTAATTCTTCTGGTGCAAACAAGGAGGATTGGTGTTGCTGGAGATGCTGTCCAGTGTTACATTGAGATAAGTAGTGTTGCTGTTGGTTTACATATTTTGGTGTTATCATGTAATTACGTACCTCACGTTACACTGGTGTGTGATTGTGGCGGAGACGTGTTACGGTGTGGTCGAACTGTAATTTCACTATACTGGATGTATAGTGCGTTACGCTGTCTTATTACTGATAATGATTAACTGCGTAAGCAAGAGAGCAAGTTGAACATCTGCTCTCACACTTTTATTATGTTTAACAATTAACGCTATCCTGATGTTTCTCAGAGATCAAAATTGCGATCCTCTATTGTAATCTCCGACATCAGAAGTGGGATCTCCTGTTGTCATTTCCGATATATATTATGACACGCCTGGCCTAATTAAGTTTAGCTTTAGGTTAGGTTAGGTTAGGTAGTTACCTACTAAAAATTAGTAGGTAACTACGTGTTTTCTTTGAAATTGAGAGTAGGTGACTTTTTATGCAGAGATTACAAACATTTTGTACTATTTTTTGTTTTATAAAAAAATCATTTATATAAGTAGGTACAGCTAAATCACCCTGGAAAACTTTGGTTTTTATTAAACTAAATTTTCACCTAATAATAATATTTGTAAATATCAAAGAATTAAGAACCGTAATTTGGAAAATATAAAGGTTTATGATTCATTAATATTCATCATTACAGCCCTTCACAAGTCCACTGCTGAACATAGGCCTCCCCCAAAGAATGCCACAAAACACGGTCCTGAGCCACCTGCA